TCCCGAGCTGACGCTGATGTTTTGAATTTTGATGTTCTGTTTTTTAATCACATATGCCCTGGTAACTTGTGTGGCAATTTAAACAATTGTCATATTATTAATTTTATTATCCGTCAAGTTTCGTCCCGCGTTTTATACAGGGTGTCACATATAAGCATGTAAAAAAGCACTTTTTCCAAATAAACGATCAGGGTCCAAACGTGTTTCGTTTATTCCTTTATTACCTTTCCTTTTGCAATCAAGCAACATATTCGATACTAAGTTAGAGCAAAGAGTGGTTACTCTTTGGTTAAAGGATTTAAAAAATTGGGGAATTTTAGCGTTGTAATCGTGCCTATACTATTGAATTAGATGCAATTTACTTACCTAGTGCTTTATGGATGATTAAAAATCTCACCCCCAAGGTACCTAAGCTTTTCCTTTAGAAAACGACGGCACTTGTTTAAATAGATGCGCACTGTGTCACTTCAATTTAGAAACTAACTCGAAAATTGCAATACATTTACCTATATAACAGTTATCAGGGTCAACCGGGGTGAACGTTTATCGTAGTTTTGCATTACTCATATACGCTTCATAGAGCATAATTATGATAAGAGGCTAAACGAAAATGAACGTAACCTGTTACGTCATCTTTACGTAAATCACCATCAGACAAATCATGCAGGTCGCGCTTCTTTTAGTAACAATAGGAAATAATTTCACCTGATAAATCCCTTAATTGCATTAGGGTGGGATAGGGATGGAACTAGAGGTGCTGTAAAAGTATACGAGTCATGAATTACGAAAAATCCTTCAAAGAATGTGTAAAAATAATCGCCAAATCTTGAGTTCTTTGTTTCACCCTCGCCTTGGGCCATGTCGTCATTAGGAAAACTTCCCTTATAGTGCACATTTACTTTTGCATCTCGCGGGTACAGTCTGGACCAAAAATATCTAATTAAAGTAAATTTTTACTTTGCTTCATAATTAAAGAAATTGATCTACAATATTTCGTCCATTTTTATGATACCGACATGTGAATTGATGTGAAATAACCATTTAGGTACATTTTCTAGTATGGGTGTACTATACGTTGCATTCGTATGGATATTTGAAAAGAGCAATCAATTTGCTGTAGGACAACATAAAATATACGAACTATTGACAAGTTGACATGTCCTTTCTGTGTGATATGGTACACGGCATCCAACATTTCATAATTTTCTAAATACTGAATCACTAAGTTCTCCATTTTTTGTATATCAATCACATGCATATTTTATACTGTCGTGTAGAAAATGAATTGCTCTTTTCAAATACCTTATATTTGGCAAATATTTGACTGTATACGGAATTTACCACTTGGGACGAAGTTCTACGTGCAACTAAACTCGTTCAAGAGTTCAAGAGGCAAAATGAAATCTGGCATGGGTCGCAACTCTTCCCAAATTTCAAAATTCAAACATTTTTATTTGCACCACAGTTCCAACCTTTTCCAGATGTAGTTCAGAATTCGTCAACTTATTTTTAAGAAAAGGCTGAACGTATTTCAAATTATTTAATTGCAAGTACCTATCAAATGTAAATATTAAATTTACGCATTGTAACTGAGAGACATGCCAGTGGGCCAATAAATAATTAATCTAGCTATGTTACATAATAATTGGTATTTTGGTAAGTAAAGAAAATTTTCCACTTCTCCGCATTGTCTTGTAGTATGCTTTCATCGTTTTGCTACTCCCTTCCCCACCTTATTGAATATTTTCTGAAAGCATTTGAACTTTTCTAAAATTAAATTGACTTTTCGGAAATACATTTGATCTCATTTGAAATTCAATTAACTAATTTCAAATACTTTTGAAATATTCTGAAATTAAATTGACTAATATGAAATACTATATTCACGTATTCTGAATTACCTACATATCTGGAAAATGTGTAGTTCGTAGTTATATTTTAGATATTGCTCCATTTTAGAAATAAGGTGCCAAATTCTCACTGTGCCGCTTTTAAGAAACTCTACTTTTTCTTACTAATTCATATTGTATGTTTTTGTTTTTTTAATTGTCTCTAATCGTCAGTCGCGTCCGGAGAGTTAGGGCTCAGGAAAAACACACTAACCAATGCAAAATTTAGAAATCCACATTTTAACGATAATTCTCACCATTTGTGGGCGTGAAAAATGTAAAGAGGGGATCATTTAGAGTTGAATTAACAGATAAATGAAGTCTCACAGCCATCGAGGAGAAATCGCATGATTTTATGTACCTAAAAGGGAGTTTAGTAAAAAAAATGGGATTCGTGCTTTTTGTTTCCGAAAAATATAGTTGTAGTGTAAAATCTTTGAAAATAATTGAGAATCTCGGAAAAATTGAAAATGTCAAATTTCGTTTTCATTTTCCCTAGCTTAAACGGTCGGAAATTGACCCGTAAAAATCCAATACGGCGTCCATAAGAAATAAAAAAGTAGTAGTCTGTACCTTCTACATCTGGAGTGCTATGGAAAATCTGATAACAGATTCAGATTCTATGAAAAAAGTACCCGTAGAAGGTGCTAGTGAGAACCGTCCATTGCAGACCGTTTAAGCTAGGAAAAATTAAAGCGAAATTTTACATTTGTTCAAATGCGTTTTTTTTACCGAGATCCCAACGGCGAAGCACGAATTTGAACCACCCTGTACATGTGCTTACTGACGATTTTCTCCAATTATACTAAACAATAACTAACGTTCATTAAATTGGGTGAACGAATAGCACGCTCCTGAAACTTAAATTTTCCATTTACCGCAGTAAAAACGTTCAGAATTTCAAAACTTTGTTGAACGAAGGGATAGTTTCACCCCTTTATTTCAACAAAGACCGTTGCATCATGAAAAATAGTCTGAATTTAAATCTTGAAAATACGATTTTCAACTTCATTGTAAGAGTACACGTACCCATACACAAATTCTATGGTACTAGGTAACTTGGGGATATTTCCTACTCGTCCCTGGGGGACTGTGCAACAAAAATTTCGATTTTCACGAAATTTGGTGTCTGAGTGTTTCTATATAAATATAAAATGTCCAGTCCAAAATTAATTAGGTGCCTATAGCTATTGGGAAATGTGGAGCGTCAATTTTAATGTGGTCACGTTATCAAAAAGGGTATATAAAATTTGGGGCCATTCTCTATGATCGTGATTGTTTTTGTAATCTTGCAAAAATTTTTGAAAAACAATTGAAATATTGTGCTCAATCAGTTAGATTGGAACGAATTCAAGAATTCAGCAGATTGAATCTATACGATTGACTATAGTAAAATTATAATAATCATTTCTCAAAATTCTGAACATACCTATCAGATCATCGCATGTTGTATTCCACCACGATTCCAAAAGGATCTAGTTGCTGATGACGCTATGACGACTTTCGCAATTCCTTCCCACCATCATCGTCATTCCTTCAGGCACGAATTGCATGTCCCTAGAAATAAAGACATATCAGCACAATTTTTTGTTACTTAAATTCTTATTCTGCCCACTTAAAAATAAATTCATTAAGAAACATAATAATCAAGACGTGTCAGCAGTAAATATACCTGTTTACTAAGATTCAAGAGGGCAATATATCGAGAGTTGGCCCAATAACTAATACATCGTCAAATTTCAGCAGAAAATAAAACACAATAAGTTAAAATTTAATTAAAATACTTTTTAAAAATATGAAGAAACTTAGACTTGGACTCTATTTTAAAAAATAGTTAGTAATTATTTATATGGGCATGTTTTAAATGATTTTGAAAATGTATTTTGTAGATGCTCACCCTTTAACGTCCACTAAGAAACTAAATTTAAATATCTGAATATTACAATAGATAACAGTCGAAAGTGTACCGAACTGAACGCAATGTTATTTTATTAGTCATGGTCATACCCACAATTCTAAAGAGTGTCGATACATTTCATTGCATAATCAAATTTTCTTCTTATGCATCAGGCTTTTTGCGCTTATTAGGAATAAGTGTGAAAGAAGACACTAACTCAAACTAAACTAAAAGTACCTACTATTTTTCCAATTGACAGAATAAAAAATGTACTACTGCAGTAGGTACCCTTTTGTTCATATACCAGACAGAATTTCTTTTTAAAATTATTGAAATTTAATAAATGAGCACGTTCTGAAAATCATCCGACAGATTACCTACCACAAAATGTCATCTCGGTATTTAAATTTTTGTAACCGGATGGTATTTATGTAGGGCAATTGTTCTCGTCTACTTTAACTGTACTTACGAGGGGTTGTTTTTATATTCCCGAGCTGACGCTGATGTTTTGAATTTTGATGTTCTGTTTTTTAATCACATATGCCCTGATAACTTGTGTGGCAATTTAAACAATTGTCATATTATTAATTTTATTATCCGTCAAGTTTCGTCCCGCGTTTTATACAGGGTGTCACATATAAGCATGTAAAAAAGCACTTTTTCCAAATAAACGATCAGGGTCCAAACGTGTTTCGTTTATTCCTTTATTACCTTTCCTTTTGCAATCAAGCAACATATACTAAGTTAGAGCAAAGAGTGGTTACGCTTTGGTTAAAGGATTAAAAAAATTGGGGAATTTTAGCGTTGTAATCGTGCCTATACTATTGAATTAGATGCAATTACTTACCTAGTGCTTTATGGATGATTAAAAATCTCACCCCCAAGGTACCTAAGCTTTTCCTTTAGAAAACGACGGCACTTGTTTAAATAGATGCGCACTGTGTCACTTCAATTTAGAAACTAACTCGAAAATTGCAAAACATTTACCTATATAACAGTTAATCAGGGTCAACCGGGGTGAACGTTTATCGTAGTTTTGCATTACTCATATACGCTTCATAGAGGATAATTATGATAAGAGGCTAAACGAAAATGAACGTAACTTGTTACGTCATCTTTACGTAAATCACCATCAGACAAATCATACAGGTCGCGCTTCTTTTAGTAACAATAGGCAATAATTTCACCTGATAAATCCCTTAATTGCATTGGAGTGGGATAGGGATGGAACTAGAGGTGCTGTAAAAGTATACGAGTCATGAATTACGAAAAATCCTTCAAAGAATGCGTAAAGATAATCGCCAAATCTTGAGTTCTTTGTTTCACCCTCGCCTTGGGCCATGTAGTCATTAGGAAAACTTCCCTTATAGTCTACATTTACTTTTGCATCTCGCGGGTACAGTTTGGACCAAAAATATCTAATTAAAGTAAATTTTTACTTTGCTTCATAATTAAAGAAATTGATCTACAATATTTCGACCATTTTTATGATACCGACATGTGAATTGATTCTCAATAAACATTTTACATAGGTACTTGATTATAATCGTCCAAAATAACCATTTAGGTACATTTTCTAGTATGGATGTACTATACGTTGCATTCGTATAGGGTGGACGGTGGTGCAGTAATAAATAAATCGTATGCGATCTCTCGAATGGGGCAAAAAATCATTTTTACTATTCTTTCCTTACAATTTTTACTAAAAAGATGATTCTAGTGGAACGGCGAACGCGTTTAATTAAAAAATATATGTAATTATTAACTTGTGCGAAAGTTTCATTTCATAATTGATCGTCTTAAAAGATGAGTTATCTCGAGCATTGTCTAGGGGTTGCCATTGACAACCGGCACTCTTCTGTTCTATTCCTTCAGCGATTGATACCCTAATTAAATCAGTCATATCTGTGCGAAAGAAATTGTAAAAAGTGCGATCCCTTATTGAAAGTTTATAATAAAAAAACTCGCAATATAATAATAATGATTAAACAAAATGAATTTAATCAAAAGGATAAAAAAGAATGTGTGCTAATTAAAATCTGCACCTCTTTAAAAATTAACCAAAAATGCTCGGTGGTTAATTTCGAAAACAATTAGACCAAAACTGTAGAAGAAGATGGGAAAAAACTGAAAAATTTGCAGGTTAGTATAACGCGCTCGGGGATGACGCCCAGATGTCGCCGACCCCACATCATGCTGATCCGTCCCTAAAGTTGTTAATTGGGTAGGTACACGTAATTACTAGTAATCTAGGGACTTTAGTTTTACCATAGCAAATTCGATAAACTAATCTGATGTACTATGGCCTATGCGATCAAAAAAGAGTTGCTGTCAAGTTCCTTTGGGATCTGGATTCTATCAATAAAATTTTTTCGAATAATTCCCGTTCAGCATGAACCCTTTGAAACAAACCCGATTGAGAAACTGTTCCTTTTCCCTTTTTACTCGAATTGTTTAATGTACCTTGCACCTTGCTGACTTCTTACTCTCTATTACTTTCTAGCTATAAAATATCTGTTTGAAACTATATACTATTAAAATAAGTAGGTACCTTTTTACTATTACAAAACATGACCTTTTATTTTTACGTGAATGACTTAGAAAAGGAAAATCTTTCGAACCGTATGCAGTACATCAGAATATCAAAATATGCAATAGCCCGTTGCGAGCAACTTGAAAAAACGGAACCAATTGAAACATTGTGCTCAATCAGTTAAATTGGAACGAATTCAAGAATTCAGCAGATTGAATTTATACGATTGAGTATAGTAAAATTATAATAATCATTTCCCAAAATTCTGAACATACCTATCAGATCATCGCATGTTGTATTCCACCACGATTCCAAAAGGATCTAGTTGCTGATGACGCTATGACGACTTTCGCAATTCCTTCCCACCATCATCGTCATTCCTTCAGGCACGAACTGCATGTCGCTAGAAATAAAAACATATCAGCAAAATTTTTTGTTACTTAAATTTTTATTCTGCCCACTTAAAAATAAAGACATTAAAAAACATAATAAGCAAGACGGGTCAGCAGTAGATATACCTGTTTATAGTAAGATTCAAGGGGGCAATATATCGAGAGTTGGCCCAATAACTAATACATCGTCAAACTTCAGCAGAAAATAAAACACAATAAGTTAAAATTTACTTAAAACACTTTTTTAAAAAATGAAGAAACCTAGACTTAGACTCTATCGGGGCATTTTTTTGTCAAAAAGACTCAATTTTGAAAAATAGTTATTTTGTTTACAGTACGCCCTTACTGTCTAGCTTGATATTTAATTGCGGAAACAGTGAAACAGAGTATAAAAAATCTTTAAAATCAAAATCCAAAAATTCTATATCTGTCTGTATTAAGTTTTATTTGCATCTCTCCAGTACAGTGTAGACGTGTTTCGTTTGGGAGAAAGGGAGAAAATCTGGAATTACTTAGTTTTTGAAATTTCGAAAAAAAAATTCCACTGCATCTCTTCGGTGGGACAACGAAAATGGAGAGAATTCCGCGAAATTTGTTGTGTACATACTTGATGAGTTAAGGAACAAAATTGTCGAGCAGTTTTTTAAAATCACATTTCAAACAAAAGCCACAAAATCTCCACCTACTACCTACTAAAAATAACTGACTCATCTAAATTCGCAGGTAGTTCATTCATAAATGATATTAAAAAATTCGATATGTCGATCATGGTATTGAAATTCGATTCCAAGTCCTGCAAAAAGACATGCAAGTAGTTCAGGCTTTCCCGAACATACCTACAAGAGGACATTCATTAATTTTGTTTATAAGTTATGGAACTTTTCCTATTGAAATGGGAAAAAAGAAAAAAACATTTTATATTTTAATTTATACGGGATGGTGACTTGACGAACGCACCATAGGAATTTCAATAGTAATTTTTTCATTTCCAATTATTGACTTCCCTAACTATTCGAGAAATAAAGTCTATTTTAGGTTTTGTGTAGAGAAAAAAATTACGAATCCGTATACATACTACTGTTTCTTATTTTATACATTCAGAAACAGTGCAAATTTAAATATTAAAAACTGTCGTGTTTATAAAGTCCGTAATGCCGTGGAATTAGGAATCAAACAATAGCGCCTGCATTTGCCATCAATTAGCTTTGTTTGATCTCAAACTCCCATGGCACCACTGATTTTCTGAAAAGCGCCAGTTTTTAGTTATCCTACTTCTTTGTTTCAATAATCTGTAATTTTCTAAATTTCTCCGATTTCCCACAACAACAAAAAAGTACAAATGAGCGCATGAATAGACGCAGAATTTTACAACATACCAAAAAGTACAAAAAAAAGTATAAAATATTTCAATATAACAAAATTACCATTGAAATCCCTATGCGTGCATAAAGCAATACGACACCCTGTAGATATGTGGTTATAGGTAGGTATTTAGTATTTACCATTACATTTAAAATTCGTGTCTATTACAATAATCATAATAAAAGCATTTAGATATCCGTAGGATCTATTGTTTATATACTACAAAATTAGGGTAACTACCTACTAATTGGGCATGTCTAGAGAGGGGAGGACTTTAAATGAATTTCTCCTACACACTTTTTTATTAAAATTTTATTGACAATTAAAAATTGTATATCTCATGCAATGGTGCAATTTTATGTCATTATGTGTGAAAATTGCTTTTTTCAATTTTTGTTTTACACCTATTTATTATTTACGATTTCATAAACTTCAAAGTCACGTTTTGAGTAAACATTCTATTTTTTTTAATTAGCTAAACATAGTTCACTCATATACATCGCCCTTAACCATGGTCCAAATTTCATGAACTTTCAATTATTCATTTTTGTAATTGAACAAAGAATACATTATTTTGTATAGGCGGTTTAAACGTACGTATACATTACAACAACCTTAAAAAAAATCCCGAAAAATAGATTTTCTCCCTTATTGTTGTTGCCCTTTTAGAATTATAATCATTAAATTACCTTTCCCCTTGCAATCAAGCAACATATTCGATACTAAGTTAAAGCAGAGTGTGTTACTCTTTGGTTAAAGGATTTAAAAAATTGGGGAATTGTAGCGTTGTAATCTTCCCTATACTATTAAATTAGATGCAATTACCTAGTGCTTTTATGGATGATTAAAAATCTCACCCTTCAAAGGTACCTTTAGAAAACGACGGCACTTGTTTAAATAGATGCGCACTGTGTCACTTCAATTTAGAAACTAACTCGAAAATTGCAATACATTTACCTATATAACAGTTATCAGGGTCAACCGGGGTGAACGTTTATCGTAGTTTTGCATTACTCATATACGCTTCATAGAGCATAATTATGATAAGAGGCTAAACGAAAATGAACGTAACTTGTTACGTCATCTTTACGTAAATCACCATCAGACAAATCATGCAGGTCGCGCTTCTTTTAGTAACAATAGGAAATAATTTCACCTGATAAATCCCTTAATTGCATTAGGGTGGGATAGGGATGGAACTAGAGGTGCTGTAAAAGTATACGAGTCATGAATTACGAAAAATCCTTCAAAGAATGTGTAAAAATAATCGCCAAATCTTGAGTTCTTTGTTTCACCCTCGCCTTGGGCCATGTCGTCATTAGGAAAACTTCCCTTATAGTGCACATTTACTTTTGCATCTCGCGGGTACAGTCTGGACCAAAAATATCTAATTAAAGTAAATTTTTACTTTGCTTCATAATTAAAGAAATTGATCTACAATATTTCGTCCATTTTTATGATACCGACATGTGAATTGATGTGAAATAACCATTTAGGTACATTTTCTAGTATGGGTGTACTATACGTTGCATTCGTATGGATATTTGAAAAGAGCAATCAATTTGCTGTAGGACAACATAAAATATACGAACTATTGACAAGTTGACATGTCCTTTCTGTGTGATATGGTACACGGCATCCAACATTTCATAATTTTCTAAATACTGAATCACTAAGTTCTCCATTTTTTGTATATCAATCACATGCATATTTTATACTGTCGTGTAGAAAATGAATTGCTCTTTTCAAATACCTTATATTTGGCAAATATTTGACTGTATACGGAATTTACCACTTGGGACGAAGTTCTACGTGCAACTAAACTCGTTCAAGAGTTCAAGAGGCAAAATGAAATCTGGCATGGGTCGCAACTCTTCCCAAATTTCAAAATTCAAACATTTTTATTTGCACCACAGTTCCAACCTTTTCCAGATGTAGTTCAGAATTCGTCAACTTATTTTTAAGAAAAGGCTGAACGTATTTCAAATTATTTAATTGCAAGTACCTATCAAATGTAAATATTAAATTTACGCATTGTAACTGAGAGACATGCCAGTGGGCCAATAAATAATTAATCTAGCTATGTTACATAATAATTGGTATTTTGGTAAGTAAAGAAAATTTTCCACTTCTCCGCATTGTCTTGTAGTATGCTTTCATCGTTTTGCTACTCCCTTCCCCACCTTATTGAATATTTTCTGAAAGCATTTGAACTTTTCTAAAATTAAATTGACTTTTCGGAAATACATTTGATCTCATTTGAAATTCAATTAACTAATTTCAAATACTTTTGAAATATTCTGAAATTAAATTGACTAATATGAAATACTATATTCACGTATTCTGAATTACCTACATATCTGGAAAATGTGTAGTTCGTAGTTATATTTTAGATATTGCTCCATTTTAGAAATAAGGTGCCAAATTCTCACTGTGCCGCTTTTAAGAAACTCTACTTTTTCTTACTAATTCATATTGTATGTTTTTGTTTTTTTAATTGTCTCTAATCGTCAGTCGCGTCCGGAGAGTTAGGGCTCAGGAAAAACACACTAACCAATGCAAAATTTAGAAATCCACATTTTAACGATAATTCTCACCATTTGTGGGCGTGAAAAATGTAAAGAGGGGATCATTTAGAGTTGAATTAACAGATAAATGAAGTCTCACAGCCATCGAGGAGAAATCGCATGATTTTATGTACCTAAAAGGGAGTTTAGTAAAAAAAATGGGATTCGTGCTTTTTGTTTCCGAAAAATATAGTTGTAGTGTAAAATCTTTGAAAATAATTGAGAATCTCGGAAAAATTGAAAATGTCAAATTTCGTTTTCATTTTCCCTAGCTTAAACGGTCGGAAATTGACCCGTAAAAATCCAATACGGCGTCCATAAGAAATAAAAAAGTAGTAGTCTGTACCTTCTACATCTGGAGTGCTATGGAAAATCTGATAACAGATTCAGATTCTATGAAAAAAGTACCCGTAGAAGGTGCTAGTGAGAACCGTCCATTGCAGACCGTTTAAGCTAGGAAAAATTAAAGCGAAATTTTACATTTGTTCAAATGCGTTTTTTTTACCGAGATCCCAACGGCGAAGCACGAATTTGAACCACCCTGTACATGTGCTTACTGACGATTTTCTCCAATTATACTAAACAATAACTAACGTTCATTAAATTGGGTGAACGAATAGCACGCTCCTGAAACTTAAATTTTCCATTTACCGCAGTAAAAACGTTCAGAATTTCAAAACTTTGTTGAACGAAGGGATAGTTTCACCCCTTTATTTCAACAAAGACCGTTGCATCATGAAAAATAGTCTGAATTTAAATCTTGAAAATACGATTTTCAACTTCATTGTAAGAGTACACGTACCCATACACAAATTCTATGGTACTAGGTAACTTGGGGATATTTCCTACTCGTCCCTGGGGGACTGTGCAACAAAAATTTCGATTTTCACGAAATTTGGTGTCTGAGTGTTTCTATATAAATATAAAATGTCCAGTCCAAAATTAATTAGGTGCCTATAGCTATTGGGAAATGTGGAGCGTCAATTTTAATGTGGTCACGTTATCAAAAAGGGTATATAAAATTTGGGGCCATTCTCTATGATCGTGATTGTTTTTGTAATCTTGCAAAAATTTTTGAAAAACAATTGAAATATTGTGCTCAATCAGTTAGATTGGAACGAATTCAAGAATTCAGCAGATTGAATCTATACGATTGACTATAGTAAAATTATAATAATCATTTCTCAAAATTCTGAACATACCTATCAGATCATCGCATGTTGTATTCCACCACGATTCCAAAAGGATCTAGTTGCTGATGACGCTATGACGACTTTCGCAATTCCTTCCCACCATCATCGTCATTCCTTCAGGCACGAATTGCATGTCCCTAGAAATAAAGACATATCAGCACAATTTTTTGTTACTTAAATTCTTATTCTGCCCACTTAAAAATAAATTCATTAAGAAACATAATAATCAAGACGTGTCAGCAGTAAATATACCTGTTTACTAAGATTCAAGAGGGCAATATATCGAGAGTTGGCCCAATAACTAATACATCGTCAAATTTCAGCAGAAAATAAAACACAATAAGTTAAAATTTAATTAAAATACTTTTTAAAAATATGAAGAAACTTAGACTTGGACTCTATTTTAAAAAATAGTTAGTAATTATTTTTATGGGCATGTTTTAAATGATTTTGAAAATGTATTTTGTAGATGCTCACCCTTTAACGTCCACTAAGAAACTAAATTTAAATATCTGAATATTACAGATAACAGTCGAAAGTGTACCGAACTGAACGCAATGTTATTTTATTAGTCATGGTCATACCCACAATTCTAAAGAGTGTCGATACATTTCATTGCATAATCAAATTTTCTTCTTATGCATCAGGCTTTTTGCGCTTATTAGGAATAAGTGTGAAAGAAGACACTAACTCAAACTAAACTAAAAGTACCTACTATTTTTCCAATTGACAGAATAAAAAATGTACTACTGCAGTAGGTACTCTTTTGTTCATATACCAGACAGAGTTTCCTTTTAAAATTATTGAAATTTAATAAATGAGCACGTTCTGAAAATCATCCGACAGATTACCTACCACAAAATGTCATCTCGGTATTAAAATTTTTGTAACCGGATGGTATTTATGTAGGGCAAAATTTTCGTTTAAATTGTTCTCGTCTACTTTAACTGTACTTACGAGGGGTTGATGTTTTTATATTCCCGAGCTGACGCTGATGTTTTGAATTTTGATGTTCTGTTTTTTAATCACATATGCCCTGGTAACTTGTGTGGCAATTTAAACAATTGTCATATTATTAATTTTATTATCCGTCAAGTTTCGTCCCGCGTTTTATACAGGGTGTCACATATAAGCATGTAAAAAAGCACTTTTTCCAAATAAACGATCAGGGTCCAAACGTGTTTCGTTTATTCCTTTATTACCTTTCCTTTTGCAATCAAGCAACATATTCGATACTAAGTTAGAGCAAAGAGTGGTTACTCTTTGGTTAAAGGATTTAAAAAATTGGGGAATTTTAGCGTTGTAATCGTGCCTATACTATTGAATTAGATGCAATTTACTTACCTAGTGCTTTATGGATGATTAAAAATCTCACCCCCAAGGTACCTAAGCTTTTCCTTTAGAAAACGACGGCACTTGTTTAAATAGATGCGCACTGTGTCACTTCAATTTAGAAACTAACTCGAAAATTGCAATACATTTACCTATATAACAGTTATCAGGGTCAACCGGGGTGAACGTTTATCGTAGTTTTGCATTACTCATATACGCTTCATAGAGCATAATTATGATAAGAGGCTAAACGAAAATGAACGTAACCTGTTACGTCATCTTTACGTAAATCACCATCAGACAAATCATGCAGGTCGCGCTTCTTTTAGTAACAATAGGAAATAATTTCACCTGATAAATCCCTTAATTGCATTAGGGTGGGATAGGGATGGAACTAGAGGTGCTGTAAAAGTATACGAGTCATGAATTACGAAAAATCCTTCAAAGAATGCGTAAAGATAATCGCCAAATCTTGAGTTCTTTGTTTCACCCTCGCCTTGGGCCATGTAGTCATTAGGAAAACTTCCCTTATAGTCTACATTTACTTTTGCATCTCGCGGGTACAGTTTGGACCAAAAATATCTAATTAAAGTAAATTTTTACTTTGCTTCATAATTAAAGAAATTGATCTACAATATTTCGACCATTTTTATGATACCGACATGTGAATTGATTCTCAATAAACATTTTACATAGGTACTTGATTATAATCGTCCAAAATAACCATTTAGGTACATTTTCTAGTATGGATGTACTATACGTTGCATTCGTATAGGGTGGACGGTGGTGCAGTAATAAATAAATCGTATGCGATCTCTCGAATGGGGCAAAAAATCATTTTTACTATTCTTTCCTTACAATTTTTACTAAAAAGATGATTCTAGTGGAACGGCGAACGCGTTTAATTAAAAAATATATGTAATTATTAACTTGTGCGAAAGTTTCATTTCATAATTGATCGTCTTAAAAGATGAGTTATCTCGAGCATTGTCTAGGGGTTGCCATTGACAACCGGCACTCTTCTGTTCTATTCCTTCAGCGATTGATACCCTAATTAAATCAGTCATATCTGTGCGAAAGAAATTGTAAAAAGTGCGATCCCTTATTGAAAGTTTATAATAAAAAAACTCGCAATATAATAATAATGATTAAACAAAATGAATTTAATCAAAAGGATAAAAAAGAATGTGTGCTAATTAAAATCTGCACCTCTTTAAAAATTAACCAAAAATGCTCGGTGGTTAATTTCGAAAACAATTAGACCAAAACTGTAGAAGAAGATGGGAAAAAACTGAAAAATTTGCAGGTTAGTATAACGCGCTCGGGGATGACGCCCAGATGTCGCCGACCCCACATCATGCTGATCCGTCCCTAAAGTTGTTAATTGGGTAGGTACACGTAATTACTAGTAATCTAGGGACTTTAGTTTTACCATAGCAAATTCGATAAACTAATCTGATGTACTATGGCCTATGCGATCAAAAAAGAGTTGCTGTCAAGTTCCTTTGGGATCTGGATTCTATCAATAAAATTTTTTCGAATAATTCCCGTTCAGCATGAACCCTTTGAAACAAACCCGATTGAGAAACTGTTCCTTTTCCCTTTTTACTCGAATTGTTTAATGTACCTTGCACCTTGCTGACTTCTTACTCTCTATTACTTTCTAGCTATAAAATATCTGTTTGAAACTATATACTATTAAAATAAGTAGGTACCTTTTTACTATTACAAAACATGACCTTTTATTTTTACGTGAATGACTTAGAAAAGGAAAATCTTTCGAACCGTATGCAGTACATCAGAATATCAAAATATGCAATAGCCCGTTGCGAGCAACTTGAAAAAACGGAACCAATTGAAACATTGTGCTCAATCAGTTAAATTGGAACGAATTCAAGAATTCAGCAGATTGAATTTATACGATTGAGTATAGTAAAATTATAATAATCATTTCCCAAAATTCTGAACATACCTATCAGATCATCGCATGTTGTATTCCACCACGATTCCAAAAGGATCTAGTTGCTGATGACGCTATGACGACTTTCGCAATTCCTTCCCACCATCATCGTCATTCCTTCAGGCACGAACTGCATGTCGCTAGAAATAAAAACATATCAGCAAAATTTTTTGTTACTTAAATTTTTATTCTGCCCACTTAAAAATAAAGACATTAAAAAACATAATAAGCAAGACGGGTCAGCAGTAGATATACCTGTTTATAGTAAGATTCAAGGGGGCAATATATCGAGAGTTGGCCCAATAACTAATACATCGTCAAACTTCAGCAGAAAATAAAACACAATAAGTTAAAATTTACTTAAAACACTTTTTTAAAAAATGAAGAAACCTAGACTTAGACTCTATCGGGGCATTTTTTTGTCAAAAAGACTCAATTTTGAAAAATAGTTATTTTGTTTACAGTACGCCCTTACTGTCTAGCTTGATATTTAATTGCGGAAACAGTGAAACAGAGTATAAAAAATCTTTAAAATCAAAATCCAAAAATTCTATATCTGTCTGTATTAAGTTTTATTTGCATCTCTCCAGTACAGTGTAGACGTGTTTCGTTTGGGAGAAAGGGAGAAAATCTGGAATTACTTAGTTTTTGAAATTTCGAAAAAAAAATTCCACTGCATCTCTTCGGTGGGACAACGAAAATGGAGAGAATTCCGCGAAATTTGTTGTGTACATACTTGATGAGTTAAGGAACAAAATTGTCGAGCAGTTTTTTAAAATCACATTTCAAACAAAAGCCACAAAATCTCCACCTACTACCTACTAAAAATAACTGACTCATCTAAATTCGCAGGTAGTTCATTCATAAATGATATTAAAAAATTCGATATGTCGATCATGGTATTGAAATTCGATTCCAAGTCCTGCAAAAAGACATGCAAGTAGTTCAGGCTTTCCCGAACATACCTACAAGAGGACATTCATTAATTTTGTTTATAAGTTATGGAACTTTTCCTATTGAAATGGGAAAAAAGAAAAAAACATTTTATATTTTAATTTATACGGGATGGTGACTTGACGAACGCACCATAGGAATTTCAATAGTAATTTTTTCATTTCCAATTATTGACTTCCCTAACTATTCGAGAAATAAAGTCTATTTTAGGTTTTGTGTAGAGAAAAAAATTACGAATCCGTATACATACTACTGTTTCTTATTTTATACATTCAGAAACAGTGCAAATTTAAATATTAAAAACTGTCGTGTTTATAAAGTCCGTAATGCCGTGGAATTAGGAATCAAACAATAGCGCCTGCATTTGCCATCAATTAGCTTTGTTTGATCTCAAACTCCCATGGCACCACTGATTTTCTGAAAAGCGCCAGTTTTTAGTTATCCTACTTCTTTGTTTCAATAATCTGTAATTTTCTAAATTTCTCCGATTTCCCACAACAACAAAAAAGTACAAATGAGCGCATGAATAGACGCAGAATTTTACAACATACCAAAAAGTACAAAAAAAAGTATAAAATATTTCAATATAACAAAATTACCATTGAAATCCCTATGCGTGCATAAAGCAATACGACACCCTGTAGATATGTGGTTATAGGTAGGTATTTAGTATTTACCATTACATTTAAAATTCGTGTCTATTACAATAATCATAATAAAAGCATTTAGATATCCGTAGGATCTATTGTTTATATACTACAAAATTAGGGTAACTACCTACTAATTGGGCATGTCTAGAGAGGGGAGGACTTTAAATGAATTTCTCCTACACACTTTTTTATTAAAATTTTATTGACAATTAAAAATTGTATATCTCATGCAATGGTGCAATTTTATGTCATTATGTGTGAAAATTGCTTTTTTCAATTTTTGTTTTACACCTATTTATTATTTACGATTTCATAAACTTCAAAGTCACGTTTTGAGTAAACATTCTATTTTTTTTAATTAGCTAAACATAGTTCACTCATATACATCGCCCTTAACCATGGTCCAAATTTCATGAACTTTCAATTATTCATTTTTGTAATTGAACAAAGAATACATTATTTTGTATAGGCGGTTTAAACGTACGTATACATTACAACAACCTTAAAAAAAATCCCGAAAAATAGATTTTCTCCCTTATTGTTGTTGCCCTTTTAGAATTATAATCATTAAATTACCTTTCCCCTTGCAATCAAGCAACATATTCGATACTAAGTTAAAGCAGAGTGTGTTACTCTTTGGTTAAAGGATTTAAAAAATTGGGGAATTGTAGCGTTGTAATCTTCCCTATACTATTAAATTAGATGCAATTACCTAGTGCTTTTATGGATGATTAAAAATCTCACCCTTCAAAGGTACCTTTAGAAAACGACGGCACTTGTTTAAATAGATGCGCACTGTGTCACTTCAATTTAGAAACTAACTCGAAAATTGCAATACATTTACCTATATAACAGTTATCAGGGTCAACCGGGGTGAACGTTTATCGTAGTTTTGCATTACTCATATACGCTTCATAGAGCATAATTATGATAAGAGGCTAAACGAAAATGAACGTAACTTGTTACGTCATCTTTACGTAAATCACCATCAGACAAATCATGCAGGTCGCGCTTCTTTTAGTAACAATAGGAAATAATTTCACCTGATAAATCCCTTAATTGCATTAGGGTGGGATAGGGATGGAACTAGAGGTGCTGTAAAAGTATACGAGTCATGAATTACGAAAAATCCTTCAAAGAATGTGTAAAAATAATCGCCAAATCTTGAGTTCTTTGTTTCACCCTCGCCTTGGGCCATGTCGTCATTAGGAAAACTTCCCTTATAGTGCACATTTACTTTTGCATCTCGCGGGTACAGTCTGGACCAAAAATATCTAATTAAAGTAAATTTTTACTTTGCTTCATAATTAAAGAAATTGATCTACAATATTTCGTCCATTTTTATGATACCGACATGTGAATTGATGTGAAATAACCATTTAGGTACATTTTCTAGTATGGGTGTACTATACGTTGCATTCGTATGGATATTTGAAAAGAGCAATCAATTTGCTGTAGGACAACATAAAATATACGAACTATTGACAAGTTGACATGTCCTTTCTGTGTGATATGGTACACGGCATCCAACATTTCATAATTTTCTAAATACTGAATCACTAAGTTCTCCATTTTTTGTATATCAATCACATGCATATTTTATACTGTCGTGTAGAAAATGAATTGCTCTTTTCAAATACCTTATATTTGGCAAATATTTGACTGTATACGGAATTTACCACTTGGGACGAAGTTCTACGTGCAACTAAACTCGTTCAAGAGTTCAAGAGGCAAAATGAAATCTGGCATGGGTCGCAACTCTTCCCAAATTTCAAAATTCAAACATTTTTATTTGCACCACAGTTCCAACCTTTTCCAGATGTAGTTCAGAATTCGTCAACTTATTTTTAAGAAAAGGCTGAACGTATTTCAAATTATTTAATTGCAAGTACCTATCAAATGTAAATATTAAATTTACGCATTGTAACTGAGAGACATGCCAGTGGGCCAATAAATAATTAATCTAGCTATGTTACATAATAATTGGTATTTTGGTAAGTAAAGAAAATTTTCCACTTCTCCGCATTGTCTTGTAGTATGCTTTCATCGTTTTGCTACTCCCTTCCCCACCTTATTGAATATTTTCTGAAAGCATTTGAACTTTTCTAAAATTAAATTGACTTTTCGGAAATACATTTGATCTCATTTGAAATTCAATTAACTAATTTCAAATACTTTTGAAATATTCTGAAATTAAATTGACTAATATGAAATACTATATTCACGTATTCTGAATTACCTACATATCTGGAAAATGTGTAGTTCGTAGTTATATTTTAGATATTGCTCCATTTTAGAAATAAGGTGCCAAATTCTCACTGTGCCGCTTTTAAGAAACTCTACTTTTTCTTACTAATTCATATTGTATGTTTTTGTTTTTTTAATTGTCTCTAATCGTCAGTCGCGTCCGGAGAGTTAGGGCTCAGGAAAAACACACTAACCAATGCAAAATTTAGAAATCCACATTTTAACGATAATTCTCACCATTTGTGGGCGTGAAAAATGTAAAGAGGGGATCATTTAGAGTTGAATTAACAGATAAATGAAGTCTCACAGCCATCGAGGAGAAATCGCATGATTTTATGTACCTAAAAGGGAGTTTAGTAAAAAAAATGGGATTCGTGCTTTTTGTTTCCGAAAAATATAGTTGTAGTGTAAAATCTTTGAAAATAATTGAGAATCTCGGAAAAATTGAAAATGTCAAATTTCGTTTTCATTTTCCCTAGCTTAAACGGTCGGAAATTGACCCGTAAAAATCCAATACGGCGTCCATAAGAAATAAAAAAGTAGTAGTCTGTACCTTCTACATCTGGAGTGCTATGGAAAATCTGATAACAGATTCAGATTCTATGAAAAAAGTACCCGTAGAAGGTGCTAGTGAGAACCGTCCATTGCAGACCGTTTAAGCTAGGAAAAATTAAAGCGAAATTTTACATTTGTTCAAATGCGTTTTTTTTACCGAGATCCCAACGGCGAAGCACGAATTTGAACCACCCTGTACATGTGCTTACTGACGATTTTCTCCAATTATACTAAACAATAACTAACGTTCATTAAATTGGGTGAACGAATAGCACGCTCCTGAAACTTAAATTTTCCATTTACCGCAGTAAAAACGTTCAGAATTTCAAAACTTTGTTGAACGAAGGGATAGTTTCACCCCTTTATTTCAACAAAGACCGTTGCATCATGAAAAATAGTCTGAATTTAAATCTTGAAAATACGATTTTCAACTTCATTGTAAGAGTACACGTACCCATACACAAATTCTATGGTACTAGGTAACTTGGGGATATTTCCTACTCGTCCCTGGGGGACTGTGCAACAAAAATTTCGATTTTCACGAAATTTGGTGTCTGAGTGTTTCTATATAAATATAAAATGTCCAGTCCAAAATTAATTAGGTGCCTATAGCTATTGGGAAATGTGGAGCGTCAATTTTAATGTGGTCACGTTATCAAAAAGGGTATATAAAATTTGGGGCCATTCTCTATGATCGTGATTGTTTTTGTAATCTTGCAAAAATTTTTGAAAAACAATTGAAATATTGTGCTCAATCAGTTAGATTGGAACGAATTCAAGAATTCAGCAGATTGAATCTATACGATTGACTATAGTAAAATTATAATAATCATTTCTCAAAATTCTGAACATACCTATCAGATCATCGCATGTTGTATTCCACCACGATTCCAAAAGGATCTAGTTGCTGATGACGCTATGACGACTTTCGCAATTCCTTCCCACCATCATCGTCATTCCTTCAGGCACGAATTGCATGTCCCTAGAAATAAAGACATATCAGCACAATTTTTTGTTACTTAAATTCTTATTCTGCCCACTTAAAAATAAATTCATTAAGAAACATAATAATCAAGACGTGTCAGCAGTAAATATACCTGTTTACTAAGATTCAAGAGGGCAATATATCGAGAGTTGGCCCAATAACTAATACATCGTCAAATTTCAGCAGAAAATAAAACACAATAAGTTAAAATTTAATTAAAATACTTTTTAAAAATATGAAGAAACTTAGACTTGGACTCTATTTTAAAAAATAGTTAGTAATTATTTTTATGGGCATGTTTTAAATGATTTTGAAAATGTATTTTGTAGATGCTCACCCTTTAACGTCCACTAAGAAACTAAATTTAAATATCTGAATATTACAGATAACAGTCGAAAGTGTACCGAACTGAACGCAATGTTATTTTATTAGTCATGGTCATACCCACAATTCTAAAGAGTGTCGATACATTTCATTGCATAATCAAATTTTCTTCTTATGCATCAGGCTTTTTGCGCTTATTAGGAATAAGTGTGAAAGAAGACACTAACTCAAACTAAACTAAAAGTACCTACTATTTTTCCAATTGACAGAATAAAAAATGTACTACTGCAGTAGGTACTCTTTTGTTCATATACCAGACAGAGTTTCCTTTTAAAATTATTGAAATTTAATAAATGAGCACGTTCTGAAAATCATCCGACAGATTACCTACCACAAAATGTCATCTCGGTATTAAAATTTTTGTAACCGGATGGTATTTATGTAGGGCAAAATTTTCGTTTAAATTGTTCTCGTCTACTTTAACTGTACTTACGAGGGGTTGATGTTTTTATATTCCCGAGCTGACGCTGATGTTTTGAATTTTGATGTTCTGTTTTTTAATCACATATGCCCTGGTAACTTGTGTGGCAATTTAAACAATTGTCATATTATTAATTTTATTATCCGTCAAGTTTCGTCCCGCGTTTTATACAGGGTGTCACATATAAGCATGTAAAAAAGCACTTTTTCCAAATAAACGATCAGGGTCCAAACGTGTTTCGTTTATTCCTTTATTACCTTTCCTTTTGCAATCAAGCAACATATTCGATACTAAGTTAGAGCAAAGAGTGGTTACTCTTTGGTTAAAGGATTTAAAAAATTGGGGAATTTTAGCGTTGTAATCGTGCCTATACTATTGAATTAGATGCAATTTACTTACCTAGTGCTTTATGGATGATTAAAAATCTCACCCCCAAGGTACCTAAGCTTTTCCTTTAGAAAACGACGGCACTTGTTTAAATAGATGCGCACTGTGTCACTTCAATTTAGAAACTAACTCGAAAATTGCAATACATTTACCTATATAACAGTTATCAGGGTCAACCGGGGTGAACGTTTATCGTAGTTTTGCATTACTCATATACGCTTCATAGAGCATAATTATGATAAGAGGCTAAACGAAAATGAACGTAACCTGTTACGTCATCTTTACGTAAATCACCATCAGACAAATCATGCAGGTCGCGCTTCTTTTAGTAACAATAGGAAATAATTTCACCTGATAAATCCCTTAATTGCATTAGGGTGGGATAGGGATGGAACTAGAGGTGCTGTAAAAGTATACGAGTCATGAATTACGAAAAATCCTTCAAAGAATGTGTAAAAATAATCGCCAAATCTTGAGTTCTTTGTTTCACCCTCGCCTTGGGCCATGTCGTCATTAGGAAAACTTCCCTTATAGTGCACATTTACTTTTGCATCTCGCGGGTACAGTCTGGACCAAAAATATCTAATTAAAGTAAATTTTTACTTTGCTTCATAATTAAAGAAATTGATCTACAATATTTCGTCCATTTTTATGATACCGACATGTGAATTGATGTGAAATAACCATTTAGGTACATTTTCTAGTATGGGTGTACTATACGTTGCATTCGTATGGATATTTGAAAAGAGCAATCAATTTGCTGTAGGACAACATAAAATATACGAACTATTGACAAGTTGACATGTCCTTTCTGTGTGATATGGTACACGGCATCCAACATTTCATAATTTTCTAAATACTGAATCACTAAGTTCTCCATTTTTTGTATATCAATCACATGCATATTTTATACTGTCGTGTAGAAAATGAATTGCTCTTTTCAAATACCTTATATTTGGCAAATATTTGACTGTATACGGAATTTACCACTTGGGACGAAGTTCTACGTGCAACTAAACTCGTTCAAGAGTTCAAGAGGCAAAATGAAATCTGGCATGGGTCGCAACTCTTCCCAAATTTCAAAATTCAAACATTTTTATTTGCACCACAGTTCCAACCTTTTCCAGATGTAGTTCAGAATTCGTCAACTTATTTTTAAGAAAAGGCTGAACGTATTTCAAATTATTTAATTGCAAGTACCTATCAAATGTAAATATTAAATTTACGCATTGTAACTGAGAGACATGCCAGTGGGCCAATAAATAATTAATCTAGCTATGTTACATAATAATTGGTATTTTGGTAAGTAAAGAAAATTTTCCACTTCTCCGCATTGTCTTGTAGTATGCTTTCATCGTTTTGCTACTCCCTTCCCCACCTTATTGAATATTTTCTGAAAGCATTTGAACTTTTCTAAAATTAAATTGACTTTTCGGAAATACATTTGATCTCATTTGAAATTCAATTAACTAATTTCAAATACTTTTGAAATATTCTGAAATTAAATTGACTAATATGAAATACTATATTCACGTATTCTGAATTACCTACATATCTGGAAAATGTGTAGTTCGTAGTTATATTTTAGATATTGCTCCATTTTAGAAATAAGGTGCCAAATTCTCACTGTGCCGCTTTTAAGAAACTCTACTTTTTCTTACTAATTCATATTGTATGTTTTTGTTTTTTTAATTGTCTCTAATCGTCAGTCGCGTCCGGAGAGTTAGGGCTCAGGAAAAACACACTAACCAATGCAAAATTTAGAAATCCACATTTTAACGATAATTCTCACCATTTGTGGGCGTGAAAAATGTAAAGAGGGGATCATTTAGAGTTGAATTAACAGATAAATGAAGTCTCACAGCCATCGAGGAGAAATCGCATGATTTTATGTACCTAAAAGGGAGTTTAGTAAAAAAAATGGGATTCGTGCTTTTTGTTTCCGAAAAATATAGTTGTAGTGTAAAATCTTTGAAAATAATTGAGAATCTCGGAAAAATTGAAAATGTCAAATTTCGTTTTCATTTTCCCTAGCTTAAACGGTCGGAAATTGACCCGTAAAAATCCAATACGGCGTCCATAAGAAATAAAAAAGTAGTAGTCTGTACCTTCTACATCTGGAGTGCTATGGAAAATCTGATAACAGATTCAGATTCTATGAAAAAAGTACCCGTAGAAGGTGCTAGTGAGAACCGTCCATTGCAGACCGTTTAAGCTAGGAAAAATTAAAGCGAAATTTTACATTTGTTCAAATGCGTTTTTTTTACCGAGATCCCAACGGCGAAGCACGAATTTGAACCACCCTGTACATGTGCTTACTGACGATTTTCTCCAATTATACTAAACAATAACTAACGTTCATTAAATTGGGTGAACGAATAGCACGCTCCTGAAACTTAAATTTTCCATTTACCGCAGTAAAAACGTTCAGAATTTCAAAACTTTGTTGAACGAAGGGATAGTTTCACCCCTTTATTTCAACAAAGACCGTTGCATCATGAAAAATAGTCTGAATTTAAATCTTGAAAATACGATTTTCAACTTCATTGTAAGAGTACACGTACCCATACACAAATTCTATGGTACTAGGTAACTTGGGGATATTTCCTACTCGTCCCTGGGGGACTGTGCAACAAAAATTTCGATTTTCACGAAATTTGGTGTCTGAGTGTTTCTATATAAATATAAAATGTCCAGTCCAAAATTAATTAGGTGCCTATAGCTATTGGGAAATGTGGAGCGTCAATTTTAATGTGGTCACGTTATCAAAAAGGGTATATAAAATTTGGGGCCATTCTCTATGATCGTGATTGTTTTTGTAATCTTGCAAAAATTTTTGAAAAACAATTGAAATATTGTGCTCAATCAGTTAGATTGGAACGAATTCAAGAATTCAGCAGATTGAATCTATACGATTGACTATAGTAAAATTATAATAATCATTTCTCAAAATTCTGAACATACCTATCAGATCATCGCATGTTGTATTCCACCACGATTCCAAAAGGATCTAGTTGCTGATGACGCTATGACGACTTTCGCAATTCCTTCCCACCATCATCGTCATTCCTTCAGGCACGAATTGCATGTCCCTAGAAATAAAGACATATCAGCACAATTTTTTGTTACTTAAATTCTTATTCTGCCCACTTAAAAATAAATTCATTAAGAAACATAATAATCAAGACGTGTCAGCAGTAAATATACCTGTTTACTAAGATTCAAGAGGGCAATATATCGAGAGTTGGCCCAATAACTAATACATCGTCAAATTTCAGCAGAAAATAAAACACAATAAGTTAAAATTTAATTAAAATACTTTTTAAAAATATGAAGAAACTTAGACTTGGACTCTATTTTAAAAAATAGTTAGTAATTATTTTTATGGGCATGTTTTAAATGATTTTGAAAATGTATTTTGTAGATGCTCACCCTTTAACGTCCACTAAGAAACTAAATTTAAATATCTGAATATTACAGATAACAGTCGAAAGTGTACCGAACTGAACGCAATGTTATTTTATTAGTCATGGTCATACCCACAATTCTAAAGAGTGTCGATACATTTCATTGCATAATCAAATTTTCTTCTTATGCATCAGGCTTTTTGCGCTTATTAGGAATAAGTGTGAAAGAAGACACTAACTCAAACTAAACTAAAAGTACCTACTATTTTTCCAATTGACAGAATAAAAAATGTACTACTGCAGTAGGTACTCTTTTGTTCATATACCAGACAGAGTTTCCTTTTAAAATTATTGAAATTTAATAAATGAGCACGTTCTGAAAATCATCCGACAGATTACCTACCACAAAATGTCATCTCGGTATTAAAATTTTTGTAACCGGATGGTATTTATGTAGGGCAAAATTTTCGTTTAAATTGTTCTCGTCTACTTTAACTGTACTTACGAGGGGTTGATGTTTTTATATTCCCGAGCCTTAGACCATATAGTACATGGACTGCTATTCGCCCTATGCTTTCAATACAAAATGGATGGTCACGGATAGAGGGCACTGTAGTCGTGGGTATGTGAATCTCAGGGTAAACTAAAGTCGTGTAAATACCACTCGGATCGCTTAAAGAGCAGCATTATAGTAACCGCGTAGTACGGGAAGCTTTAAATGCTCTTCATTATTTGCTATACGTCCACAAATAAGAATAAGTTTGTTTTTTTGGGATATCTAGGCGATTAATTAATTGACGTTTGTTAATTTATAGGTTGACAGTCTCAAATCGTGTCTCATCGAACAACTTCGGACAGACTCGTTTACCCTGAAACTCACATACCCAGGCGATGTCCTTGACCATATTTTAGTTACAATTAGCAGTCCATGTACTATATGGTCTAAGTCCCGAGCTGACGCTGATGTTTTGAATTTTGATGTTCTGTTTTTTAATCACATATGCCCTGGTAACTTGTGTGGCAATTTAAACAATTGTCATATTATTAATTTTATTATCCGTCAAGTTTCGTCCCGCGTTTTATACAGGGTGTCACATATAAGCATGTAAAAAAGCACTTTTTCCAAATAAACGATCAGGGTCCAAACGTGTTTCGTTTATTCCTTTATTACCTTTCCTTTTGCAATCAAGCAACATATTCGATACTAAGTTAGAGCAAAGAGTGGTTACTCTTTGGTTAAAGGATTTAAAAAATTGGGGAATTTTAGCGTTGTAATCGTGCCTATACTATTGAATTAGATGCAATTTACTTACCTAGTGCTTTATGGATGATTAAAAATCTCACCCCCAAGGTACCTAAGCTTTTCCTTTAGAAAACGACGGCACTTGTTTAAATAGATGCGCACTGTGTCACTTCAATTTAGAAACTAACTCGAAAATTGCAATACATTTACCTATATAACAGTTATCAGGGTCAACCGGGGTGAACGTTTATCGTAGTTTTGCATTACTCATATACGCTTCATAGAGCATAATTATGATAAGAGGCTAAACGAAAATGAACGTAACCTGTTACGTCATCTTTACGTAAATCACCATCAGACAAATCATGCAGGTCGCGCTTCTTTTAGTAACAATAGGAAATAATTTCACCTGATAAATCCCTTAATTGCATTAGGGTGGGATAGGGATGGAACTAGAGGTGCTGTAAAAGTATACGAGTCATGAATTACGAGAAATCCTTCAAAAAATGTGTAAAAATAATCGCCAAATCTTGAGTTCTTTGTTTCACCCTCGCCTTGGGCCATGTCGTCATTAGGAAAACTTCCCTTATAGTGCACATTTACTTTTGCATCTCGCGGGTACAGTCTGGACCAAAAATATCTAATTAAAGTAAATTTTTACTTTGCTTCATAATTAAAGAAATTGATCTACAATATTTCGACCATTTTTATGATACCGACATGTGAATTGATTCTCAATAAACATTTTACATAGGTACTTGATTATAATCGTCCAAAATAACCATTTAGGTACATTTTCTAGTATGGATGTACTATACGTTGCATTCGTATAGGATGGAAGGTGGTACAATAATAAGTATCGTAGGCGATCTCTC